CCAACATCTCTCAACTCACTGCAGCACCAGAAAAAACACGTGTTTGGTGTTGGGGATCCTCGGGTGATCGGGGAAGAAATATTGATTTTTGGAATGGAAATGGGGAATTTAGCAAATTTATGCGACACCTCCTTACTGCGCAAGTTCAGCGAGTACACCTATTCGTCCGAATACACCTACTTACGCAGAGATTGGCAGACGTACATAGGTGTATACGGAAACGATCGCTGAACTTGCGCTCTAAAATTGCGCTTCTTTTTTTAAAAACTTTCTTATTAACGGAACGGGCAAGCGGCAACGCCAAAAAATCCATAACTATTCATTGCCGGTCCCTTTAATGAGTATTTGCCAGCGGGAATACCCTTTATTTTGCTAATAAAATTTAATTGAATTTCAATTGCGGAAACTAGAACGAAAACCGGAAAAACTCTAATACTTAAAAATCCATTTTTTTTTGTATTCTAAAAAAATTTAAAGTTAAAATTGCTTCTTAAGGTCTTGAGATAGTCTACAAAAGTACGACTAATAACACTTCCTCTTCAATATTTTAAAAATTAAAAAAGGACAAAATTTCCATCGTCCGCCCACCCCGGAAATACCAAAGAACCGGCACATTCCAAAAAATCAAAAAAAAATACCGGAAACCCCCCTTTTTCCCTACACCCATCATCACCTCCCACAAAAAAATGGGCAAATTGAGCCCTCTAGGGCCCTGGGGGGAGGGGCAGATTAGCCCCGTGAGGGCGGAAATCCTAAAGCCTCTTTCCGCCCCACGGCGCCAAATCCCGGGCCGGAGGCACCCTATTTTTAGCCCCAGCCACCCAACCAACCGGTGAATTATCAGAGGAGAAGGAGAAGAAGGAGAAGGAGGCTGTCGCTCGTTTTGAGAGCGTTGTGTGAGTGTGTGGATGGATGGGCATCTAATCCGTTGCCGCGAGAGATACAGCCAGCCCCTTCTACTCCTCACTACCTCTCTGGGCCCCCCATCCAAATATCCTCCTGAGACGCACCTCATGGAATCTACCGGCTGGGGGATGGAGCTCTAGCTGTTGCTCCTCAACCAATTCACTAGTCCTACTCGATTTATCCCCCATCAAAAATGGATTTACAAGGGCCGGCCGGAGAGGTAGGGAATTGCTTAGTGAGTACCAGCCTCTAAACGCTCACATTAGCGAGCACCAGCGTCAAAAATGAGCCCAAACTTATAAATAGCACTTCATAAAAATATTAAACCAAAGATGTCTATTTAAAAAGCAAATAAATTGTTATTAAACCCGATTGCCTAAAATCTAGCTCCACGTGGTCCGAAGGACAATTCCCAGCGAGCATCAACTTCAGAAAGGAGCACCACCCCATAAAATTAAATTCATCATAATCAGATCTTTTCGAGCTATCTTTAAGATACCTCAATCTTTCACTTCCTGGCTACTAACCACACCAAATAACGCTCCAACTCCTCCGGGGGCCTAAACGTGATCTTCGCCTTCCCGTTTCCGCCTGGAAGCCCCCCTTGCCTCCAGAGACGCCCTTTCCTCGTGTTCCATGATCAAATCTCAAAAATCCGCTTCACTACACTCTACTAATCTTGAAAAAGTGAAAAAAAACAGTTGGTTTTCTGCTCTAAGTAGCTACTACTACCCGTTTTTTGCCTCAACTATGCCTACAGGGTGTGCAAAAAAAAAAGACCACAGTTTGCACTGAAATAACTCGCGAACGGTAGAGAATCGAAGGTACGTTCCCATGCCAGAATGCTTAAATATGCTGGGCATGAAGATTTAACACAACTTGATTTTTTCGATTTTTGAGTACGTACCCATACAAATGACACCCGAAAACTGTGCGTTCGGGGAAAATTCATTTGTATTTTTCTCAGTTTCCTGTGGTGGCTGGCATCTAATTTTTATTACGTAAGTTAATATAGGCCGCGGATATGTACCTAAAAAGTTTAAGAATTTTTGAGGGTCTGGTTGAAAAGTTATAGAGGAATGAAATTTTGTATGGAGAAATTTCGTAAGTTTTTATTATTAAAAAAACCTATGGCGAAAACCTCAAAATCAGTTGTTGTGGAATATCTACGAGCCCGTTACAATCGCATAAAAACCTTAAAAAAATTTTTGGAGATCGATGAATTTTCGAGTTTTTCAACGACCCCCTGGTCATGGATTTTTCGAGCTCTCGAAATCGAAGTTTGGAAAAATATTTCTAAATTGCCAAAAGGGACTCAGCTGTTTTCTTTGCTTAGCTATGTAGTTCTGGGGTTGATCTAACATCTCCAAAATTCCGAGTTACCGTACCCCTTTGGAAGGGCGTCTTTTAGGGCTTCCAAAACGGTTGGTTCGCGCTTTTTTCCGAATCTTGTCACCATTTTATAAAATTTAGTCGCGCTGTGAAAATTATTGTTTTATTTTTATCTGATACCTGTTGAATAGCGCATCCTAAAGCCTCATTCATGAATTTTTTTTAACCAGCGGTTGGCGCCAGGAAAATTCATCAAAACCCGAAATAAACCGAATTCGAGGTTGCGTCAAAAATTTTTGGAAGGTGGAGTCGTAGGGATATTTTGAGCAATAAATCAGTGCCATCAGTTAAATAAAACTATGCAAAGACTAAGACGACTTTCCGTCAAAAATTTTTTTAAAAGGATTTTAAACTTCGATTTTGGAATAGGGTGATCTTCGATTGAGAGCTGAAAGTCACCATAATTTTGAATCAGATTGCTCCGGAATTTGACAGGCGTAAATAATAACATCAAAGCTATAATCGTATCCAAAAGACTTAGGTGGTTTTTTTATTTTTAATAATTCGAAAAATGACCCCGGCTACTCTGACCAAAAATCGGCTCTCTGGCCTATTTTTCACTTGGCCTCGTAACTTTCTTATTTACCACCCAAAATCAGTCATTTTTCACAGGTTATCTTACAATTGCTTCTAGAAGGCCCTCGAACAGAAAAATCGTCACTTTATGGAATTTTGTGATGGCATGCTAAAACGCGCTCCACGTGGGTTACTGTAGAAAACCGAAATTAGCGATTTTCGTGGTGTTTTTGCCATGGAATCGCTTCGATCTTTCGGTAAAAGCAATAGTAGGGGTTTTTGGTACAAAAGACCAAAAAATTTACAAGATTCTGCCGCAGAATTAAAAAATCAGTTTTCAGTCTTTTTCATGAAAGTTTGTGGATAGTACGCTCTCGTATTTGGCAGCAAGGTGCCCCTACTTATTGCCCAACAACCCAGAAAATTTCAGCCGGATCAAAGGTAGGGGCCCCGAGAAAAGCGGGAAAAACGAAATCTACAGTACCCCACTGGGGCACGTTTTAGCAAGCAATACAAAAATACCATAGATTGTGGTGGAATTTGGTGTGGAATCCGAGATTAATATTTGGATAGGTCATTGACAAAATATCAGCCATTAGTAGTCTGGTAGAAGCGAGTTATGACTCAAAGAATAAAAATAACGCAAAATCGCGAAAATTGTTTTGCTTTTAAAAAATGAAATTGACCTCGATAAATTCTAAGATTTTGCCATTACATTTTTACAAATTTATACTATTTTTAGGCCAAAAATCAGAATTTTCCCACCTCCCGTTCAAGAACGCACAATTTTCGGTCGTAACCAGCGTCAATAGTACAGTTTCGTACTCAAAAATCGAAAAAATCAAGTTGTGTTAAATCTTCATGCCCAGCATATTTAAGCATTCTGGCATGGTAACGTACCTTCGATTCTCTACCGTTCGCGAGTTATTTCAGTGCAAACTGTGGTCTTTTTTTTTTGCACACCCTGTAAAAGTATCACTCTCCTCGCCCACTGGTGCCCACCAATGATTGTGCAGAAGCAAGTGCACACTCCCCCACGTCGCTCTCTCTCTCTCTCCCATCACTCGTAAACGTTCTTCTACGCTGCCCCAAAACCCCCCAAAAATAGACGTCACGACGACGATGCGACGGGGAGGGGAGGGGAAAACGCACACGGGAGGGACGGGAGCCCAAACATTGCGAATCGCGGACCCCACGCCTTTCACCATCACCACCACCACCACCAAAAACCCCCTCTCGGAACAGACCGGAAGCGAAAACCAACCAACAAACCCAACTGAACGCGGGGGGGGGGATAGTCCACCGGGGGAAAGGGAGAAGCTTCCCGAATTTTGGAGCACACGAAATTGGAAAAGTGTTTTGAAAGAGTAAAATAGAGAATAGTTTGTGGAAAAATTGCTTTTGTAGGAGAAAAAAACTAAAAACGGAACAATGTATTTTCAAGAATCAATCAAGAAATTGCTAGAATAAAGCCCACAGTCGATTACGCGATTAAATCTAACCATTTCCGCGACGAACGCACAGGATAATTACGTGTTTGCGTACCTTCTCGTAGTCTCCTAGTCATCAGTGGAAAAATCGATTTCCAAAATCGTTTTAAAAGCAGATAAATCCAGAAATTATCAAAAATTGAAGCCCACAATCGATTACGCGTTCTAAATCTGGCCGTTTCCGCACCGAACGCACAGGATAATTCCGTCTTTGCGTACTCTCTCGTACTCCTACGATAACGAAAATAAAAATCAGCCCCTCTTTTCAACCCCTTTTCTTACAAATTTTGTTTTCAACGTTCCGAGAGCGTATCAACTTAACCCCCGAGGTGACCGAGATGTGTCAATGCCCGGGCCTGAATGCCAGGGACGCCCCCATAAATGTTGATCATCATCTTGGACAAATAGCTGAGCGTTTTGGGACGAAAAGCACCGAAATATGGGGCATACCCAGGATGGCCGCACCCAAAATTCCCTTATATCTGCGGATTCGGAAAAAGTTGTTGTCTTGGACACGATGTGAGCATGGAGAAGCGGTCGGTCGGCTAGAGCTGCTTATTTCTAATAGAAAATACAGCTAAACCAGCTTTTTCTCTTGATACTTACAACTTTTTGGTACCTGGACGTAACTGGAGGTTTTCTGATCGGTTTTAAATCGGCTGATGTTTCAAGCCAAATAACATTTTTCCATTTCAGAACACAGCAACACTCGATGACTTTGACCGGATCAAGACGCTGGGCACCGGATCTTTCGGCCGGGTGATGCTGGTCAAGCACAAGGCGTCCAGCAATTATTATGCTATGAAAATTTTGGACAAACAAAAGGTATGTGATTTAAGATAATGCTAAGTAAGTAAGACGTTGAAGACAACGATTAAATTAACAATTCACAACCTTTTTTCAGGTCGTAAAGCTGAAACAAGTGGAGCACACGCTGAACGAGAAGAAAATCCTGCAGGCCATCGATTTCCCCTTTCTCGTCAACATGACATATTCATTTAAGGTAAGTCAGGGTTTAAATGAGGGTTTTTAAGGTATCCTGTTCCTTTATAACTATTTTTACGACTTTTATAACCGTTTACATATGTTTTTTATAACTTTTCTTCCTTTAAAAATGACCAAAACTCTTGATTTCAAGATTTCTGGTACCGTGTTCCTTTATAACGAACTTTCTAACGTTTATAACCTGTTTTTCCTCGCAAAAAACTTCCAAAACCTCGAAAGACGATTCCTTTCGAGCATTCCACGACAATCCTCCCATTTTCCTTTCATATCCAGATCACTTTCACCACCACTTCACGCCATATGTGGTGTTTGTCGTGGCCGGGGCGTGTGCGCGTTCCCGCATTCTATATTTAGCCCTCCCCAGTCGTCGCCGTTTTCTTTTTTCCAGGCTGCGCCCTCCATTTTTCTCGCGCTCACTCCCCTTCTCCCAGCATCGATTTCCCCCGTCGCGTTTTTTGGTGGCGGTCGGCCGGGCGGCGCGCCGATCCTGAATTCGCTCCTCTCGGGCAGGGGCTTGGAAAAAAGGGGCTTCTCGGCCAGGGGACTGGCTTTATAGAGGTATCCCGTAGAGAATGTGTATACAATCAAAGCTCAGGGATTGCAAGTTGGATAAGCTTATCTGGTTGACAATTTCCGGTTGGTTTTTCAATTTAAAAATTGCAAAATTTCACACGTTTATCTGAATTTAGCTCGGGTTATTCAAATAAGAATATCTAGATGCAAATTTTTGGGTTTTCGAGCGATTGATGTTATTTGAATAAGCAGAAGTCGATTCAGGAATTTGAAATTTTGAAAAGTTGTAAGTAACAATTTTTGTAAGCGTATCCATGGGTGATTATTTCTATTTCAATACAAAACCATTTAATGGTTGCAAAAGAGTGTGCTATCTAAATCTTTACAAATTTATCTAAACAACGCTAAAATAGGGTTCAAAATTAAAAAAGAATGAAAAAGCAATTTTGTTGAAAAACCGGAAATGCCGCTCAAGCAAATTCTAATAACAACAATCCTGTGTAGAAACCAATCGTATGTTCACGCCAAAAGTTTATTTTCACGAGACAAAAGGTACGTAATACGTGAAAGGAGCCGAGGCTCTGACACAATACAATTGCTATTGGATGGTGGTGGGTGTGAAGAGAGAAGGGTTGAGGGGATGGAGAGAAGGCCCAGCATCATCATTTCTTCGCGCCACCGGCATACGTCTTCTTGTAGACGGCCGGCTTCTTGTACTCGATCTTCTTCTTGACCGGCGGCGGCGGAGGGGCAGCAACCGGGGGAGGGGGAGGCGGGGCCGCTTGGCTCGGTGACTGAAAAGAGGTAGTGTAGCGTAGTGGTGAGAAATTCCGATTTCCGAGGATTTAATTTGAATAATTGATAACCGGTATACCTTGGGCTTGGCTCCCTTGCCGAACAGCTCGTCGTCGAGGTCGACATCCAGCTCGGCCGGCTTGCCTCCGCCCGATCCGCCGCCCACGTCGACGGGCACGAAGGCGCTCTTGTCAGCCATGGAGTAACGAAATGAAAATGGGCACTTGGACGAATTCTTTTATACTCAAAATTCTATGCAAGATTGGGGAAATTTCCGGATTTTAATGCTTTTTATGCTAATTAAAAAAAAGTTATTTAAACTGAACTTTTTCCCCATTAGCCCGTGGTAAAAATAGGATAAATAAAATCTTGTACCTCTAGACCTCTATCATTAATAAGCCTAGTAATACTTTGTAAAGGAACAGGATACTTTAAAAAATACCGAAAATATTGGCGCAAGAACGACTATTTGTTTCTCTTTCAGGATAACTCAAATCTGTATATGGTGCTGGAGTTCATCAGCGGCGGCGAGATGTTCTCACATTTGCGGCGTATCGGCCGGTTTTCCGAGCCGCACTCCCGGTTCTACGCGGCACAGGTGAGCTCGATCGTTTGCGCCTCAAATTAAATTTCATTTACTTTAATATTGTAATTAGATATTAAAAAAGAATGACTTTTCATACCTTTATCTAGCTTTATTAATTCTGTTAAACATTGAAAAAGAAACCACAGATTTTAGCATATTTTTCTAGATCGTGCTCGCTTTCGAGTACCTCCACTCGCTCGACCTCATCTACCGAGATTTGAAACCGGAAAATCTGCTCATCGATTCCACCGGGTATATCAAGGTATGGATATCTTTAGTGTTATTAAATTCTTTTTCTATCAGCTTTTTAACGGGGTTAAACGCATTTTCTTGCAGATCACCGATTTCGGTTTCGCGAAGCGGGTGAAGGGCCGTACATGGACATTGTGCGGAACGCCCGAATACCTCGCACCTGAGATCATTTTGTCAAAGGTATCGCATCATACTTTAATTGTTGATTTTTCTATCCTCACTATAACCTTCAAAAATGTAATTTAGAGTATCATTTTAGTGGCATAAAACTTTTTACGCTTTCTTTTCTAGGGCTACAACAAGGCCGTCGACTGGTGGGCCCTCGGTGTGCTAATCTATGAAATGGCCGCCGGATACCCGCCATTCTTCGCCGATCAACCCATCCAGATCTATGAGAAGATCGTCTCCGGGAAGGTCGGTTTCTACAGATTGTCTATTTAATCTAGATTTAGCATAATTCTATTAGTTTAAAAATGCAAAAATCACATTTTTTCGACGAAAAATCATCGATTTTGGGCAAAATACCAATTTGAAAAATTTCTAAGCTTTCAAAAATAATTTTCCCGCTTGAAACATATGTAACTTGTGAAAAAAACCCGATTAAAAAGTTTCCTATTACATTGCTAGGCTTTCTAGACTTATAGGAAGCACCCAAAGCCTTGACTTTGCTTTATTAGCTACCTTTTTTTGCTATTCACTATTTATCATCAACATTTCTAGGTGAAATTCCCGTCGCACTTCTCGACTGAGTTGAAAGACCTGCTAAAGAACTTGTTACAAGTCGACTTGACGAAACGGTTCGGAAACCTGAAGAATGGTGTCGCTGATATCAAGAACCACAAGTGGTTCGGCTCCACCGATTGGATCGCCATCTACCAGCGCCGGGTAGGTCCAAAAACATACTTTCAAAAGTTTAATTCGATCGCTAATCTATGGCTAACACTTTTCGGTTTTTCTTCACTTTTGCATGAGCATACACGGCTTTATTTTTGTGGTGTGGTGGCGTTGTCGTGATTCGTAATTTTACGGTGTTTTTGGTTATAGTAACCTTTTAGAAAGTCTAGCTGGTACAGCCTAGCCGGTACTGGTCTGTTAGCGGGGGGGGCTTCTTTGATCCGCCTCTCCAGTAATAAAACTGAAATACAGACCAATTGTATGCTTTTTACCCGGTTTTTAGGCATAAAAAGCTTCTAAAAATTACTACAGTTTTCGAAAAGGTTGATTTTTGTTCAAAAATGTCAATTTTCTAAAGATTTGACGACTTTTTGGTAGCGAAAAACAGCTAAAAACACTATACAAAGCCATTCGGGAACAAAATTCTAGTACCAACGACAAAAACATCACGCCATAAAAAAAACACATAAAACTTTTTCAAACTTGCCAAGTGAGCAGTCCACAAAAATTATAATTCTTTGCCCGAAATTCGAATTTATACCAGACTATCCTATTTCACTTTTAAAAACACCTCCAACCTGTTCTTCCCACTTGGCAAACCTCTCGCATGGTGTGTTTCTCTCCGGCTAACAAGTGTCCCCTTGGGTGCAGATTCAACCGTCATCGTTCGCCAAACAAGAGCAGGGCCGTCTCTTCGCCGCTCTCTACCCAAAAATCGAGGGCCCAGCCGACACGAGGCATTTTGTCGAGGAGACCAAGGAGGAGCCACTCTCCGTCTCGGCCGTCCCGCTCGAAGTCGACACCTTCGCCGAGTTCTAGGCACAATTTCTGGTATTTTATGCACATTTTTCATTTCTTTCTGCGCTATGCACGTAGTGTGGTGGCAACTTTTTTGGTTTGCTTGCGTTGTAACATGCACTAAGAATTTTATTTAATTCTGCGCTGTTGGTGGCATGTGGTGGTGCGTTGTTTTAGTAAAACGCCTCCATCGGCCGGCCCCGGCCGGCCTTTTATGTTCTCTAAAACTTCAGCATGCAGGAAATTAGCACATTTCGTAGGGCTCGCACGGTGATATTTGGTTAGGAAATGTGTATAGTAATAAACGTTAAGTTAAACTATGTAAATACGTCAAATCTCTTCAAAAATGGGTAATAATATCTCGTAATTAGTTATATGAGGTATTGGAATCATACTTTACAGGTAAAATAATTTAGTTTAGGATATAAATCCTTATCAAAATTTTATTTTCAAGTGGAACAAAATCTAAATCATTCTAACACTTCAAATTCGTTTAAATAAAGTTTGTATCATAATAAACGTTGAGTTAAATTATGTAAAACTATGTAGTACTACATCGTAATTAGTTGTATAATGTATCAGAGCGTACTTTATAAGAAAACGAGTTAGTTTTGCGGGGCTAAATTCTTATAAAATCGTGAGAACCGTGCGAAATTTCCTAATTTTCAGCGAGCTACATTCTTTTCAATGCGCTTTTTTCGCTAATATTTTTGAAGCGGTGAAAATTAAACAATACTATAATAGTAACAATAAATTAAAACTAATAAAACCATGAATTTCCAGGTGGAAGCCCCATTCCTGCCAAGGTGTCGCGGCCCCGGCGACGCGTCCAACTTTGACGACTACGAGGAGGAGCCGCTGCGCATTTCCGGCACCGAGAAATGCGCCAAGGAATTCCAAGAATTCTAGAAATCTATCTATCTCCGTCCCCACAGCCCTCATTCTCGCCACAATCATGCTTGCCCCAAAAAAATTATCTACAGCCCCTATATTTTTTCTTCTGTCCCGGTAGCCCGAAAGACTGTGTATACACGCCGCCCCCGTGCAAATTATCCCCCCCCCCACCTTTTAATTTAACTTATGCATGGTAATGAAGCCAGCAGCACGCGATCCTCTTGCCACACTTTTTCTCACCACGCCCCCGCCGGAAGTTAACGGAAAAAAATTGTAGTCGCCTAAATTTCCCTAGTCTCTCGATTAGAAGCGTTATCGGGGTTTTGAATATATCCCGGTATGCCTCTAGTCGCCCCCCAGCCGATTCTGAGAATTCGGGCCTGAAAAGAGGATATTGATTATGTTTAAAGGGACCGGTAAGGCAAAATAGTGTTTTTCTTGCAAGGATTTTTTATGGATTTTAGCTCTCGCAAAACACGCGGCGTTTCATTGCGTAATCGATTAAGAAATTGCTAAGAAAATTTGGCTATGGATCCCTTACGATATTGCGTTACGTTACGTTACGCAAAGAAGACGCTATTCCAATTCGTGCGTCGCGTGTAGCGGTGCGCTAAAATCTATAGCGAATCAACCGCTAAAAAATCCATATAAATACCTTGCCCGTCCCTTTAACCCCGAAAACAAAGAAAGGCCAACCCTACGCCAGGATCCTATTGCCAAAGACCCAGGTCAACAGGACGGTGTCATTTAGCCGAAAGCAGTCGAATTTTAGAAAGACACCTCCTCATTCTCCCTCTCCCTCCCCAGCAAAAGACCCCACGATTACTCAGGCTAGTCTAGTCACCCCGGTCATCAACATCCCCCACCCCCACCCACCCACCGACTCGAACAACAAATCAAAAAATTTCTAAAAGCACACGTTGAACGTCTCCGTCTAGTTGGGCAAACGCAGGAGATGAAGCCATAATTATTGTCTCTGGCCCGGCCGTTTAGTTCTCTGATATGTCAGTCCACTCTCCCTCTCCCACCCCCCTATTTCTTTTGTTGTACGATACGGATGCTAACGAGACATCGGTGTGTGTCAATTAATTCTGTGTGTGTATTCGGTAATTTGAGAAATTTCTAGCCCTCTGCGCCCAGTGTCTCTACCCCTTTTTTGTCTATAAGCTCCCCTGGAATACAGTGCTCCTCCGTACACGTCAGATTTCTTTTTTTACCCCTACACACTCACATCTCCCATTCTAATCATTCGCACAGTGGACCCGAGTGTTTCCTGCCCTCCCTCCATCTCCCCCCTCCCCCAATATTTGAAGACAGTCTCGTATTAAATTTTTTTGGTAAGGATATTCCCGTTGTCTGGAGGAATGATAGCTTTAATTGCTGGAGAAATCGTATGGATAATAAATATTAAATGTATGTCGGTGTTTTGAAAATGCACATTAAATTCAAATACCACACTATCGATATGTTACATTTATTAAGCCGTTAAAAATCCCGAACCTAACTACACAATTTGAAAAAAATTATCCTCCTCGCCAGTTGTCGACCAAGAAATTCCGCCAGTGTTTAATCTAAAAATAACAGTTTTATGGCTCTTGTAGAAATTACCGTAATATCGTATCCATTAGCCGTCACCTCGTAGTCGACGACTTCAGCACGGTCAACCTATTTTTAGTGATCAATTATAAAAAAACTAATTGCCAGTGCAAGGGCGCTATTCTCGTCGTGTGCTTTGCCCCAAATGTCGACGATATCACCTTTTTGTACCTAGACAAAAAAAAGTAAATTTTACAGCTAAATCTCACATTGTAGGACTTCTTTGTCACGGAATTCTCGTTGACGCGCACCTTCCCGGTCATGATTAACTTCTCGACTTGGCTGAAAAATCACATAAAAAAATCTGGAAAACTAACTCACGAGCTGCTCTTCCCGCTCGTCCGGTTCACCAGCGTGTCGAGTCGTCGGGTACCGGGCTAAATTAAGATAATGCTAAAAATAGATAAATTCTCACCTTGATGACCTTCAGCTTATAATCCTTTGGTAGGCCATCCTCGTCATATTCTACCGGAGCGGCCAATAGGCTTGTTGTCGCAATGGAACGCTGCGCAGGAAGTTGGCAGCATTTCTAAAAAACAATCACCCCACTAAAAATCGGAATTACCAATCTTTGGAGTATCCCAGGCGCTCCAAACAGCCGTGTACCGCTTCTTATAGCTTGCATGGGCTAAATCGGCTATAAAACAACCCTCGAAATTTTGAAAAATATTAAAGCCGCCAACTCAACAGCTATTTTAAAAACACCATAAACAAAAAAAAGTTTATTAACTTCGAACCCGCAATTCCACATTTAATCACAAACTAGAAATTTTGGTGCTAATGATTGGGGGGATATGAAGATCTCAAATCCTTTTAAATGAAGCTTGGAAAACCTAAGATAACTGGCAGCTCATTCAAAAACTGAGCTGAGTTGGAAGGAGTCAACACCTAAAACCTATTTGACCTCCTGGAATTAAACTAGATAGGTTGGAAGCAGCTAAGTTGGTAAGAGTTGAAGCTAAGTTAGCCTCGGTAAGCAAAACAATAACAGCGGGGTTGAATATAAGTTTTGGATCCCAAGTGCAACCGAAATTTTTAACAAGGAATATATGACACAAGAGATTTATCGGAATATTTCTTCATGTGGAGGACGACCTCGACTGCTTCACCGGCAGATAACTTGGATTTGGTCTCTTCAGAAAGGCCTAAATCACTATTTAACCTTAGTCAGAAAACGCTCTACCGTTTGGTATAGCTATACGGGCTTTTCCTCCCTTGCCAAATGACTGCTCGATGACGCCATGCTAAAATCAACTGTTTGGAAGTTCTACCAAATGCTAGACCTCTCCAGTCGACAAAATCACTTTCATTCGCTCGAAAATTTCGATGCGGCTCTCCTTCTTGAATAGATCTTTGCAGATTAGAGATCTGAAAAAAGTTTACAGTCAAGGTTTCCCGAATCCACCTATCATTTTCGACTCTCTCGACAAGTCCTCTGCGTTCCTTTCTTCTAAACTGTTTAAGATGTGTGCAGTCGTCATCCTTAAACCGTCCGTGGAATGGGAATCTATAAAAATATCCTTGGTATCCCAAAATTATATACCTGCACCCTTTTCCTTGGTGTTCCAATTTGGACGCCACGTAGAAATCGCCTGTTCTTCCATAAACTGGTTTTGCAAATCTCAGCTGCACCAAGCAATCTGCTGACGATGCGGGCATTATCTCGTATTCGCTCTAAAAACAATAATATAATACTCAACTTTTCTAATAACTACCTCCACTTCCTTCAAAAAGCTACAATCCGCCATGACGATATCGAAACCAGTGGATACGTGCAGCTTTCGACCGCTGGGAATGGTCCCTAAAAGGCCTTTTGCCAGCCAAAATATGGTACCTTTGTAAAAGGACACCGGATTTACCGTGGCCAGACATTCACGCAGTGGCTTCAGGGTCGAGGGAGCAGAGATTAGTGCTCGATCAAAGGAGCCGGAGGGGAGATTGACTAAGACGGCTCCACGTTCACCTGCAGAAATCTAAGAGCATCTATAAGCGCTTGAGAGTTGCCACACCTTCTCAACATCTTCTTTCCATGATTGAATTCCTTTGACTTTGCACTTTTCTCGCAGCATCGGAATTTCGATTTCCGAATTCAGCCTAAAAAGGGTTATCGGTGGAAAATTCCGGCCTACTTCAATGTGCCTTCTAGAACGGTTCCAGTAAGGACAGTGCCTTTGCCTTTCACCGGAAAGCAATGGTCGATAGCCATCATAAATGGCGATGTTGTATTCCTTTCTGGGGTGTACAGCATTTTGCGCAAGGCTGATGAGATAGCTTCAAGTGCCGTCTAAAACAAAAATGGCTTAAAAAATCCAAATTACTGTTGGATCGTTCAAGACGCTACACGCCACAATCGGCGAATTTTCTGGGATGTCGATCGCCTTCAGCGCTTTGCGTATCCGCTTTGAGATTGCAGGAAGCTAAAATCCTTGCTTTTAATGTCGGAATCTTGACAAACCTCATCGGCTGACACTAAATCAGTCTTGTTCAGTACTATCAAGACATGTGTTGGGCAGAATAACGACGCGAGCAGAAGGTGTTCGGCGGTTTGTTGCTCGATTCCATGCGAGGCGTCAACAACGACAATTGCCATATCAAATACCTATGTAATAACGGAATTCTATGAGAGTCAACGAAATACCGTACTAGCCGCCAGCACGGATCTGATTAGAGAAGAGTGGCCTGGACAATCAATTAGTGCTAGCCGCTTATCGTCAATTGCTATGGAGGAAAAGCTAAATGAATAGAATCCCAGTTATATCATTAAAAATTACCCCAAATCAATCGTGTTATGCCGTCCCAGCTTCTCGGCATGTTTGTCAAATGCATTTGTCGAGGCCAACGTTGCAATGGCTCTTGTAAGGCTCGTTTTCCCAGCATCAACATGTCCAAGTATGCCAACATTCAAACTGTTCATACTAAAAATTAAATTTATGCCAACCACAGCTTGCATACTTTCAAATAATACTCGAGCATACGTCTTTATATGCGTGTAGTTTCTTCTATCAACGATTTATATCCCAAAAAAATGTCAAAAACCATGCAAGGTGCGCGGCAAAAAATATTATCACAGAAAAATACTATATTCGAGAATATTAGGAATGGAAAGTCAACAACAAGTTCTAGTCAAAAAGAGAGCAAATAAGAAAAAAATTGGGAAAACTCACACAGTGGGGGTTTGGGGGGAATGCAAGAATGGCGCTAGCAGGAGGGGCCCGGTTGTTTTCTTTATTTCTTGGCGAATCCTTGCGGGTTCTGCGATTGCCAGTTCCACAGATCACGGCACATTTCTTCCAAGCCGAACTGCGCCTTCCAGCCCAGCTTTTGCTCGGCGAGCGCCGGGTCGCAGTAGACCTAGGAAAAATATATATTTTATTTTTAAAACAAACCGATGCGATATCGCCGGGTCTGGGTTCGCCTTCTTTCGTGGGGATCTTCCTACCGCTGGCCTTTTCTAGGGCAGCAACCATCTCGAGGACGGAGTAACCGCGGCCAGTCCCGAGGTTGAAGATTTCGGTGCCTACATGCCCTGAAAATTTAGTTTGTAAATGGCGCTATAAAATCTTACACACCTTCTTTCTTGATCCGATCTAGAGCCTTCACGTGGCCCTTCGCCAAGTCGACAATGTGAATGTAGTCTCTAACGCCCGTACCATCAGGAGTTGCCCACTTTGTCCCGAAAATCGAGACCGCCGGCAGCCGCCCAATGGCCACCTAAAATTCCAAAATCCTTTCCAAAAATAATCACCCTACCTGCGAAACAAATGGCATCAAATTGTTTGGGATTCCCTGCGGGTCTTCGCCGATTTTTCCGGAAGGATGCGCGCCGACGGGGTTGAAGTAGCGCAGGATTACAATATTCCAGTCCTAAAGATTCGATTAAACTTCCTACAATCGATTCACCTTATGCGCTTTGCCGACATCAATCAAAATCTGTTCCATCATGTATTTCGTCTGGCCATAAGGATTGGTGATGCCAACTCCTAAATTTGAACTTAGGACCCGAGTAGCATCTAAACCTGTCTGATCCGTCTCGGTGATCGGCAATTTTGCTGGAGGCCCATAAACTGTTGCAGAGGAAGAGAAGACAAAGTTCTTCACTCCATATTTTTGGCACATCTAGATTGGATTGCAACAAATCAAGATAGGAAACCTGAATCAAGTTGAGACTTGCGACGAGGTTATTTTGGTAGTACTCAAAGGGCTTTGCAGAGGATTCGCCGACTGATTTCAAGGCGGCCAAGTGGATCAGCCCGTCAAATTTGTGCTAAAAATAAATGTAAAATATTTGCAGAAATCAAACCTGAGAAAAAATTCTGTCGAGAGCCGCGACATCGCACACATCGGCCTTCTCAAAGGCAATCTTCTTCCCGGTCAGCTCTTCGACGCGTTTTAGTGACAGGGCATTTCCTGATTCGTCTAATAAGGCCCGTCATTGTACTTTACTTTTACGGTAACAGTAATATAATTTCGTACCTGAGATTGAGTTACTGAAGTTGTCGATGCAGTAGACTTCATAGCCGGCCTCAATCAGCTCGAGGACGGTGTGACTGCCAATGAAGCCCGCGGCTCCGGTGACGAGGACGAGCATCTTGGCTGAAAAAGGCGAGGTGTCAGTAGAGGGAAGTAAAGCGCAAAATTTAGAACATTTATAGCATCTTGGGAGAGAATAGCACAAGTTTCTATTTGTCCTTGGTGGGCGGAGACGCATTTTTTTCGTCAGTGACGCGGGGGTGGGGTCAGCCGGGGGTCAGGCGATCCTGGGCACCTTTTTATAACAGCTGCTATCGCGGGTAAGACTGACGACACCTTTTTTACAAAATAAGTGTCTTAGTTTTCGGCGCGCAAACAGACATTTTGGCCCTTTTGCATTTCCGGGGTGGACCCGATTTTTTTGCTAGATGCCCAGATAGGTAAGTGGAAAACTAGTTACAAAATCTGAAAAAACGGTTTAAAATCTTCATAGCAAGTATCACAATAGTGTTGTTTGTAAAATTTATCCTAGTTGAAGCGGCAAACCATCTAAAAAACTCTAAAATTGTTTAAAACTTTAAAGTTTGATCGAAATCGAGATTTTTGTTTTTCAGGTCTTTTTTAGTTTCGTAGCTTTTTACGTTTAGGAACAGTACAAAATCTGTTTAAAACCGCTTTCACTATACATATTAGCAGAATTAGATCCTAACGAAAAAAATCGGAATTCGAAAGACTATAGAAATCAAACAACGGAAATCTCGGCAACATTTGAAGCCAACGAAATTGAAGTGCTGGCCAGAAACTTGTGCAAACATTTCCGGCGGCCACCGCCCGTTATATCAGCGTGGCAACTGAGGGAACGCCACGTGAAACACCAATACCCTGCAGCTGTGGATTAGTTTTGGAGGGCGAGTCAAAAAGAAATTGGTCGCAACAGAGCAGCGAACCACACGATTGCATGCAATGGATTTTGACCTCTGTATAGTTATTGGAAATCCAGCAATCCCGCATGATGAAATTATAAACAGCTTTTCCGGGGGCAAGCACTTTATTCAGCCGGTGACAACAAGGCGGCGAGAGTGGGTGAGATTGGGGGGCGGAGATAGACATCAGGAAAAGCCCCCGCCGCCGGCCCAGGATGGATCCAGCTGGATGGTGAAAGGGAAAACGGCTCGACGGAAAAAGATGATCCTTGGGGGAAGGGCACAACGCTCGAACCCGCGAGTAGATATCTGTCAAAGTTAATTCAATTCAAACTATGTATATAGTGTTAGTGGGGGAATCGCGTTATAGCGTCTTGCTCCATCCGATGGCCGATGCGATTAGGGAGAAGCTGGCCTGTTGTCGTGTTGAAAATTTGCCCGACCACAGGAAGCCCTTGTGGGGCAACATATTGACGGCGGATAGCCCATCGCAAACAAGGCCCACCTGAAACGGATAGTGGTAGATTTCTTGGTTTTTCTTGTCGATTCCTGTTTTTTTCCACGTTCCTAACCTACCAATGTCCACAGCTCGTCTCGCCCCTTCTCGAGCCCCTTTTTACAAACTTCTCGGATCTAGACAGGTTATATGAACGCGCTGTTTTATAGTCCCTACCTGCTTCAAGACGCCGGCTACAATGGCAATCAGCCAGAGATATAGACAATACCGGAAGAGCCGTACCGAATCGTAAGCTAACACCTGAAAAAGCTTTTCAGCTTTTTTTCGCTGCTTACCCTTGCGTCTGAAAGCCAGGCTAACAATTCCACGCCCCAGTAGATGGTATATGCGACGGTAATGGTGCTCACGCAAGTAAAATCAAATCTAAAAAGGCACGTGATGGGTAGCCTCGAGTCTTCGCTAAAGTTCTGTTGAAGCCAAACTCACTTGTCCAAAATCCTTGATAAACCGGGTAACGTGCTCAGCGCTTTGAGTTGTGACAGTCCATTGAATTGCCGGAGCACCATTCTGGTGGTTGACAATTGTTTTGCAATTACCTAAAAGTAAGCATAATGAAAATAGTCAGATGAACCGACCATCCATTCTTTACTCTTCGCACTCTTCTGTGCATGCAGCTGGATCAGAAAATATAGCGTTCGGATAGCCTAAAGAAACACAGATTGATGAACAAGAATAAATACCTTGTCTCTACCAGCATACGAACCAAGCGACTTCAAAAGTGCATCTACAGTTGGTAGCTCCACCGGGCGAGCCATTTTTGTCGAGATCCAGAGGAACAGACAGTGGTGTCGCTATCCTAATATGCCTTTCTCACGAGACTACACCCCGAGTACGCAATCAAACTACAGCGCGACTTCTCTTTTCTCATTCCCCCACCTGTGATAAGGGGCGCATGAAACCTCAAAGTAGAATTTTATGACATTTTTAACAAAAAACAAGTTCAACAATCGATCGCACGACTACAACAACGGAATTCATGGGGATAACCAGCGGGAATTGGCGCATCAATATCGAAATGTGGAATTGGGGATCAAGAAGTTACAACATGCTCTCGATGAGCGTATCCCCTGAGTTGGTTGTTGATGGCGGCGGGTACTTGATCGTCCAGCTTGAAGATAGATTCGATGACGGAGAGTTCTGTTGAAGTCGTATCCAGTCCTGGAATGAAAATAATAAATAAGGATCTCAGAGCTATCAATTTACCTGTGAATGCAATCCAGTCGTTCACACACATGCCGCCTCCAATCAGCTCACTACCACGGTTGACGGTCCCGGCAACTACCGGAATCTACAGCCGCTTTATAATGTTTGTTTTTAAAAAGTACCTGAAGAAGAGCTGCCAACTCCCTTTGGGTCTCTGGGGGTGTCCGCGCAGCTACAAGGCATCCTTGAGAAGACAATGCGCAGTAGCTTCCAACCTAAAAATAGAGCGTTCCTCAAAAATAAAAAGAAGCTTACCAACGAATTCTGACCCAGCGCTACTCGGAAAACTTCAACGTTCAGAACCTCGTGCAGGGCCTAAACTTTTTTGATCAAAATAAATCCAGCACAAACCTTCTCGGTTTCTTCACTGATCTCTGCGTGGACGATGGCGACATGATCATTGCAGGCGATAACATTTCCCAACGCTGACAATCGCTCGTCGACCCGTCGAATTTTGATCTGAATACCAAGTTTTAGACATGCCAGAATAACTACCTGTTCGGGGAGAGCATTACGGATATGCTGCAGTTCCTGGTCGGTCGTTGAGTTTGGCACTAGCAATCCGTGTCTAAAATTACATAATTCACCTAACACTTGCTCACTACCTGTTTCCAACCGTCAGTCTGCCAACGATACGTGTTCCAGAGATGGAGGTGTGGACGACGGGGATGACATCGGAGAGCTCGGCCTCGATAATACTGGAAAAAGCGAATAAAATTAAATAGAAAAGTGATACCTGTAGAAATTCTGCGTTCCACCGATTCCGACCAAGCAATAGCTGTTCGTCAGTTTGGTGAAGACGCCAACTTCATTATTTCCTTCGTAATCGACACGCAAAGCCATTCTGTCTGCAAATAGATAAAATTGAAACGAAAAGCGAGCGTCAAACGGATTTTCGGAAGATAGATGCATTCAACAACAACCGTGAGAAAGAGCGTATTTCAAAGAAGGTTGCATTTCGAATTAGCTTTGAGTTTTTCTAGGCCCTAAAATGAAGTTCCAGCTACGTTAGGGCCATTCTGGGCCCGCATATCCATCCGATTTTTATAAAAAAAGACTAAAAAGCGGAAAAACAATGAATAGCGGCTGAATAGCACTAAGTACAAATTTTCAATAGTTATCGGGTTATCTTAAAACTAATTTTCTCCAGGGCCTATTTTTATCTGAAATTTCCGGCAGATTCATGAAATACTAAATGGAAAATTCCAAAAAATTAGAAATAGTACATGAAGGGGTAATAATTCGACAAATTTTAACGCTTGGCGGGTTCTCCGGGAATTTTTGAGCTTTATTGGGGTCTATTTTTGGCGCCGGCCATACAAATCCACACAATACTAAATCCATAATTCTAGAAAGTAATAAATAATGTACGAAGAGTAATAATTAGAAACATTTCAACCTTTACCGGTTTTTCCAAAGATTTTTCAAGCTTGCGCAATAATCACAGACTTTCCGGGGTGGGCGTGACGGCGTTGCGTGTATCGCAGCGTAGCTCGCGTGTTTATGTGACATGTTCCGTTCCCCGGCCACAACGAAAAGCGGAAAAGGGAGAAGCCCTCAAAAGAAGATACCCCTTCGGCCACGCTTCCTATCTTGAACCGTTTTTTTCGTCTGTCGAGTGATTTTTCTGCCAATCAATTGCATCTTGTGCTTATAGGCATGCCGAGACAACGGTGAAAAGAGGAACACCAAGAGGGAACGCCTCATTGACGCCGGATAGGCCATGCTCGTCCGTATTCTGCTCATCGCCCTTCTCTATTATCCACTTTCGATTGGGCTCACATTTTATCAGAAGTGGCTGTTGAAGGTTTGTGGCGCTAAATTCGTTTTTGCGTGAAAAATTCAGTTGTACTTAGTATCGGCAGCTAGAAATGTCGCGCGGTTCGCATGGTAGCCTTTGTTATGTAGGCATTATAAGAATTAATCCAAAATATTTTTAATACGTCTTAATCAGCCTTATAAGGCATCAAAACATACTTTTAAATAGAACGCGTTAGCTTAGCCTAAAAAATTATAGGGTAAGAGTTTAGTTATTTCCCCCCCCAGTTATGTGCATTATTTCCTTTAACCGGGGTTTCGCAACGCCATTCGATAGAGCGTCGAAAAATATACTAAGAGTTTTAATTTGAGCCTACAATAATGTAAAATAAAAAGTTATGGCCAAAAACTTCCGGCTGGGGGGTCAAGTAAATCGCCAATATGTATAGTTTTGTGCATTATTACCTTTAACCATTATTAGAGCCATGCGTATACAACCTTAACGAATCCCTTTTCAGAACTACAAGCTCCCCCTAACTGTCGTCTGCGGCCATTACATTATCAAATGGGGAGCGGCTATATTTATCCGATTTCTTCTTGAACTTTGCGGCCCGCCACGGATACGACTTTCGTGGAAGGAGCAGGTATTTGACTGAAAATCCGAGCGTATGAGCATCTTCTTAGGTCCGATGGCTGGCCCCGATTGGCGTTTGTGCGTCTCTTGACATTGGACTGTCGAACTGGGCCCTTGAATATGTCACCGTCAGCCTTTACACCATGGCAAAATCAAGCGGGATTCTATTCATCGTTGCGTTCTCTTTATTGTTGAGGCTGGAAAAGTGAGTTTTGCTCGTGTATTGCTTTTAAGGGGTGCGCGGCTAGTCTCGCTGCGCTGGAAAGAAATTTCTCCCCCCCCTCCCCGGGCGCCCCCCTGCCCTGTTGGCTACTTGCCAATTTGTTGTGGGGGGCCACACTGCCCCCCCCTTGATATTTTTAGATGGCGAATTTCCCTCGGCATGGAAACAGCTTTGATCGCGGCCGGGTTGTTCCTATTTACATGGCGATCCTCGCAGCTTGATCTTACCGGTACTATACTATGAATCATGAAGAATTTCACGCCTTTTTCAGGTCTTATGCTAGTCGAGCTCGCCGCGGCTTGTACGGGTATTCGATGGAGCGTTTCACAGCTTGTCATGCAAAAGTACGTGGTTTGGGCGATATTTCCGGAAATGTTGACTCTGCAAACACGCGGAATTTGATTGCTTTTTAGGGACGACAGCCATGCGATCAGAAATCCGCTCGATATGGTGGCCCATGTGCAGCCGTGGATGTTGATCCCCATTATCCCTTTGATTTTGATTTTTGAAAGTAATTTACAGGATCGAGAATTTTCTAAATTCCTTTAGGTCCAACGTACGCTGAAATTGATCCACTGACGTATCAAGGGGAATTCGCGCCACTGACCGTCATTTCATTGGTGTTTATCGGCGGGATAATAGCTTTTTCGATGGAATTAGCAGGTAAGAGGGATTGCGTTATACCAAAGCCTTTTTAGAGTATTTATTACTGGTCAACACCTCCGGGGTGACGCTCAACATTTTTGGAATTATCAAGGTAAGCTTACAAGCGTTTTTTAAAAAATGGGACTTACCCTAGTTTTTGTAGAATTTGCTGCCTACGTATTCGTTTAGAAAAATGGCAAAATATCCGGGTTGAAAGGGTTACAACACTTTTTTGTTGCGGGAAATCCAGGGTTTTTCGCTCTTCTAAAAAATCTTGGGGCTTGGAAACGATGCTCTTTCTAATGAGCTATCTCACCAATTTGTAGCTAAAAAATTTTCAGATTCATCAAAAAACATTTTTCAGGAATTTTTTATAATAATCTAGATAAATTCGTAAAAAAAATCGATTTCAAGTTTCAATGTATCTTTCCACTTCCAGGAAATCTTCACGCTCTTGCTGGCTCACTTTGCCCACGGCGACCAGATGTCTGAGGTGAACCTGGTGGGGCTAATGATGTGCCTGTGCGGCGTCGGTCTTCACGGGATGAATAGGCACCGGTACGTTCGTATATTGGCATTTCCGCTGCCTGGCTCTTCCCCCACCTGCTCGCCGCCATTCTCCCATTGTTAAATGCCCGCGGCTTGGTAATGTCGTTGCGGCTGGGTCGGTGTTGTTTTTTGAAGTGTGCGTTACGACTGGGAATGTGGCAGGTGCAGAGTCGGAAAATATATTGTAGAAATGTTGTGGTATGGATTTAGAGGTGCTTGAAATTCAATAGGATTTGCTTGAAAGTATAAAAAAACAGGTTCTGATGATTATCGGGCGGCAAAAATTTGTTTTATCTAAATCTTGCCATGCGCAAAATAATTAAATAAAAACTACAAGAATTTTGAGCTTTTTCTAGGTACACAAACGTATTTAGAAAACTTCAAAATTTCACTTGACCGAAAAAGATAGGATAGGAATTAAGCGATGCTAAAAACTCCAGAAGTAGGCTTTGAAAGCAAAGGTAAAATTGACTACCTTATTGTTATGCATTTATAGGTGAGGAAAAGAGACCTGATTTTGGCCCCCAGATAACCATTCACCACCAAAAAAATGAAAAAGCATTAATTTAAAAAACAGACCCAAATTTCAAAATTTTGTTGCGTTTTTTTATTCTGGGTCTCCATAGCACTCTGCATGAATATCCCCGAGAAACTAACGCCGGGCACTCGGTTTCGGTTTTTCAGCCCCGTCGTCTGGTGGCCATTTATATTTCCGCCCCTTACTAACTTCCAGGGGGTGGCGCTCCCCTCTATCATTTCCTCATTTGCAGCAACGCTATCAAGTTCGAGAAGGGTCGCTTTTCCGCGCTGACCGCCCAGCCGTCGTCGGCCCACCATCGTGTGGCTGCAAGCAAGTGAGAGAGCAAGAAAGCATGAGCACGAGTTGGAGGTGTGCAACATGGAGCCCTGTTTTTCAGTGGGCAAGCATCACCATCGTCTGCGTTGAAGAGTCTTTAGTCTACCCCCAAGGTCGCACCCCATGCACTTGAGTTTATCAATCCCTCCTGATCTGTGCCGTTTTATTTGGTTAGTGTGGTTTGCGGCTCGATATTAGTGATTTTGGCCTATATTTTTTTATTATGAATTGCCAAATTGGGTTCTGGTTTATTAGCGGGGGTCGGGTAGAGCCAATTTTTTATTAACTCGCCCTCTACTTTATCGCGCATAGTAGTCAAACGTAAACTATTTTTATACAGGGTGTCCCAAAAAAAACCCCCCCTACCTAGCGGTCCGCAGTCGATTCCGATTTTTACGATTTAGGTATCTATCGAAAGCTCTCGAAAAGGCGAGAAAACAAGGAGGGTTGAATTTCTTAATTAAGCCTTTTTAATTGCTAATTTTATGTCCAAAAACCATGAACACTGCTGATTTATGCGAGATCTGCATGCTAATTGCGAAATTCTTGATAAAAAATTCTCGGCTTTTTAGGAAAACCTGAAATATCGATAGAATCAGATTAAATCTTAGAAAACGAAACCCGCTTGTTTTCTCGCCTTTCCGAGAGCTTTCGATTGGTATAAAAATCATTCCGATCCGATCCGATTGACGGCCTCTAGAGGGGGGGGGGGGTTTTTTTGGGACACCCTGTAGTGTTTCTAATAGTTAACGACTGCAAAAAAAGTTATAAAATTAATTTTTGGCCATTTTTTCATTAGAAACATTTTCGAAGAAAGTTGGCTTTTTGTTAAAAAAATCATCCATTTGAACGCCCATCAACATCCATTTTTAGGAACTGTTTAGATTTAAAACTAGCGTAAACGGCTATGAAAGCAGTTTGAATTTTTATAAAATAGTTCCCCCCGCTAACTCACAAGAACCGTGTTTTTCCAAGATTTTTGTTTTTAAGATGTATTCTATCTAACCAAAATTTCCGCCAGCCTGAATCAATATCGAGCCAACAGCCTTTGTGCACGTGTGGTGCATGTGGAAATATTTCATAGAATAGATCGTATTATTCGGCTTCTCCCTCTAACTAGAAACCTGTGCCTCCTCTGCTGTGTACGTGCGCATTCAAAAATTTCCTTAGCTGTGATCACCTGTTTTCTAAAAATCCTCTCTAATATCATCTCCTTTTTTTCAGAAACAGCTCCCGACTGGCGGAAAGCAGGGAGCTGGCCCACGGCTCTTCTGGAGATGATCTACGAGGTCTCCTCCTTGAAGACGACGTTTTATAACCCTTTTTTCATTTACTAACCCCCGATTCCCAATATCACTGTGCCATCTTTCACTTCTGTACTGTATCGACTCGACATTTCCCAGTTGTATTCAGAAATCATTTATTCCGGCAAACATTTATTATTACGTTACAGTTACGGTCCCTGCGGGTTCCATTTTTAATAGGATACTGTAGAGTCCATTTTTTATTCTGATTTTTTTTGGTTTGGCGGGTACTTTTGCATTATCGGGGGGAAGGGATTTCTATCTAAGCCTAGTAACGTTTTTGCAAAAATGTTGCTCGTTTTTTTTTACTAAAATTGAACTATCAAGTAAAAAATTACCTAAAAACCGTTCAGAAAATTTAAAAAACCTGGTAGCTTCCCCCCGATAATGCACAAGCACCTATAATCGACTCTGCCGTAGCCCCTCAGCCTCTAACAAAACGTCTGTGATTTGATAATTGCGGTTGTGTTGTGCGTGTCTCTCTCTGTCCGTGTAACGATATATTTTCATTGTCTGTGGTTGCCTGTCTGACATCTTATTGATAAAAGCTCTTTATGTACATCACAATGTCTTCACACGTTGCATTGGATCAGCCCACCATGTCGAGGATCTTGTCGACAAACTTGAACCCGTCTTTGATCTGCTCGATGCCCTTCTCGATGACGTTCAAGTTCTGAAGTACGGCTCTGGTTGTAAGAGGCGCGTTAGTTACCGTATATTTTGAATTGCACAGATTTCCGGTGTTGCAGCAGCAGAAATGGACCTTGTAGCCCATCATCTCCACGTCGACGCACCGATTTTGGGCGCCGGCGAGCTGAACGAGACACAATACGGCCGGGCATGCATTGTTTTTACCTTGCAACGCGAGGTGGAGCATCCAGCTTTGCCGATGGAGCCGACGACTGGGCCATGGATGGTGGCGTTATAGCAATAGTCGCCGATTTCGTCACATCTGGAAGAGTAGGGGGATAGTTTGATTTTCTATAGCTATTAATTAAAATTGGCGTTTTAGCTGGTAAATGGCTTTGAACAGTTTTAGAATTACAGTCGCTTGATGCGGGTTCGAACGCGATGCTAGGTTTTACGTTTGCAAAATTTCTATAGCTACAACCGGCCTTTCGCAAAATCGAAAATTGACTTTCTCGGATGCGTACAGATATGATTCATGTAGTTCGATAGGCCTTTTTTTAAATAGTGTTTTTACGCAGGTTTAGCCTTGGTTCAAGTGAAAAGGCCATTTAAAAAACCTAGAAAATTGTCATTTTCTCAGTTTACGCCATTTTTCCAACTTTTTAAAATTTCCTCAAATAACGAGAAATTTGAGTGAATCGTAATGAAAAAGCCTCGTTCTCCAACATATTTTACAAGAAAATCTGCGAGTTCTAAACCCACTGCTGTGTCCCAGTGGCTACGGTCTCGCCGTTGAGCAGGCTGAAGCCGGAGTAGCAGCTTTCGACGCGCCCTTCCGGCCGCGGACCTACACCCATTTCGGGGATTGATGAGCCGGCTGAATGGGGGTTAGCGAGTTAGTAATATTAGGGGTTTCTATTAGCTAATATTAGAAAAATAAAAAGGTTGTAAAAGCACAAAAGTAGAGGCGCCTTTCACCAACCTTGATTTTGTGGTACGCTGCCAGGAATCGGGTGTTGCGGTCCGACGTCTGGGTTTGGAGCTGTAAATTTTAGGAAAATAAGCGCGGAATTTTTTAGAATTTTTATTAGATAAAAATGTACAAAAAACTCTTTGGAAAGAGGTGAAAAAATTTTATCGAGAGAAGGAATCGAACTAGCACCATTTTTTCATCACTATCCCCTCCAAAACCCACCAATTCTCACAACATCCGGCTCATTCAACGCGATATCGATCAAATTCGGGTCTCCCTGGTGCTTGCGCTCCTGATTCTTGACACCGCCTGAACTTGTCGAACTTGGCCTCGGGCCATCGAGGTCGACGAGCATTGGGTCTTTGGCTAAAAGATAATTTTATCAAGATTTAAAGTTTTAGATTCGAACTTGTTGTCGGCCTTTCAGTCGTGGTGGTCCTTGGGGCTTCATCAAATTCGCGTTCGCGTTGCATCATTGCTAAAAGGTTCGTTGGTAATTTTTGTAACTAGTTATTGTGTAAATGTCACTATATTTTATGTGGGAAAATATCTAAAAACTAAGAAAATTTTAAATTTTTGTCAAAAAACCGGCAATTTTCGGTCGAAAATCGATATCATGGTGTTTTTTAAAATCAAAATTTAAAGTTTTTGCGTTTAGGATTCTTAAAAAAAAATGTAAGAAAAACTTTCTCCATTCATAATAGAAAAATTTTACCCTAACGAAAAAGTTTCAGAGTTACCGATGGTCGGAGGAGCGGCACGGAATTTTGTCGTCACGGATTCGGACTCAAATTTTTTAAGCGTTGTTCTAACTTCATGAGATTGAGCTGCACGTTCGATAGAGATATCTAAAGGTCAGTAGCGAGTTTTTAATCCATTTTTAGGGTGCCGTACCTGCCGAACTGCTTGTTGTGGCCGCACAGATTGCTAGAATTAGAGAGATTTAAGTTGCTCAACTTTAACCTACGCAACAGGAGTAGCCACAGGAGCATGGTGTCAGTAGGTGCACACGGAAATGTATAGAGAGTAATTGTGAAAGCGCGAAGGCTTGTTAACGGGATGGGGTCTTTTGACTGATCAATGAGAGGGGCAAGAGTGAGAGAGAGAGAGAGAGAGAGAGCGAGAGAGAGAATGACTACACTTGTGGATAAACACTATCAATTTTCACCCCTCCCCGTCGTCACCATAGCACTTTTTCTTGGTTTTTGGGGGGTGGGATGAGTCAAGCGGGATGTGTTGATTTCGAGAGAATTTAGATCGAAACGATCTTCGCCGCTATAGGTCTATTAATGCGCTAGGTTTCTTGGAATCTTTAAATTTTTCGGGGCTTTAAATCATTATAGGCAGCTGGAAAATACACAAAATATGACCAAAGTTTATTAGAAAATTTTTAAGGCAGGAAAAGCACCTAGTTTCATTTTTGCCGTTCAATATTAAGCCCCAGTATTTTACAAGGCTCCAAAGTACACAAAAACACACAAGAAACCAAAAAAACAACAGGGAAGGCGAAAAACTGGTGTAAGAAACCGAACCAGACGCAATAAATATTTATTTTCAAGACAGAAACGTCGAACAAAGATTTGCAATCAGCGGCTGGACTTCTCGAAGACGTACTTCGTCCTCTCGTGCGGCACCATCTGGAGTTGACTGGAAAGGGGCGCATTTTAGGGTGGCAGAACGCCGGCTCACCGAGCGATCGGATCATTATGGGTGAGGATCATGAGCTGCTCGAGGGCACGGCTAGCGTCTCGATCGAATAGGTGACTGTAGAAAGTAGATACAGTAATTAGAAATAGAAATTTTCTACCCAAAAACGAGAAAGATGATGAAGAAGATGCCGAGGGCGAGAAGTTGATAGAGGAGACCCGGGTAGGAGAGCTCGCGCACATAACTCACACTGTCACCCTGTAAGAGACGGAATGGTACGGAATTCGTGGAAAAAGGAAGTTTATGTCGAAAAGTAAAATTATTAAAGGGATACCCAAGGTTTTGGCGGCAAATATATAGTTATGGATTCCGGGCAGTACAAATGACGCTCGAATTTTGTGCGGCAATGGGTCCCCAATGCCGCACAGAATTCGGCCACCTTTCCCTCTTGTGGCGTCCCCATCCCATCCAATGGCTTGCCACTATGGCCTAATGGATAGCATCCAGGCCTACCAAACGCGGGTCCCGGGTTCGACCCCCGCCCGCGTCATGGTTTTTGCTTTTTGAGCCGGGAAAAGGTTGGGTATCCCTTTAAAAAGTGTGGAGGTAAGACTCTCTTTCCCCCCAGACGCCCCTTTTCTCGCGCCCTCCCCCAGGCCTCTATCTCTCGCCTGCCCCTCCCCCAGGCCTACTATCTCGCCTGGGGGAAGTAGGGATGTGGATTTTAAAGGCGCCTCGAAAGCAAGTACCGTACCCCATTCCAGACGCCGTGGAACAGCATGTAGAAGTGACCGTTTTTCATCGTGATATGAGTGAAATGGAGTGGAATTCCTAATTTTTTGTGCGAAAAATTATAGTTTAAGATTCAGATTTTAATATTAGAAAAATCGCTCGAAAAGCTACGCTATGCTCCTAACGCCACCAAGGTTAATATGGCGTAATCGAACCCATTTTTTGATTTTCGTACGTTTCAGGGTGATTTTTTTTGCTTTTTTTCGTTGAGACATTATTTCTTTCAAGCCGTTTACCAACCAAAATTAGATGACCTAATGGAAGAGACTTTTTCTAGGTTTTAGATTTTTGCTCCTTTCTTCCTTAATTTCCCGTTTTTCTGCCGGAATTTTGTAGCGTAATCGAATATACCCTCTTTGACCTTGCTTTCAAACTTTTTCTCCATGATTTTTCTAGTGTTTTATTTTTCATGCTCTCCAAGTTAGGGTATTTGATTTAGACTCTTGCACTCTATTTGCCATATATAATCAAATACTTTTCAGCCCCTTCCACGATTTATTTGTCAGTTTACCGGCCCACCCCGCCGTTTTACAGAACCATGAACAAATTGACGGGGACGGCAGCGGGCAGAATATTTCGCGTGAGAATTGGGGGATCAGAACCAGTTCTGCCCGTATCTCTCTCTCTCCCTCTCTCTCCCTCTCTCTCTCCATTTTTGGTGGTGAAAAGGGAGGATTAGCACAAAGTATCGAAGCGGAATCGGGCCGGGCGGTAGGAAGTGGAGAGAGAAAAGTGAGGGTGTGAAGTGGCGATGACATAAATGTATATTGACAGTGTTTGCTTGAATGGTACGAGACAATCGGGGGGATACGGTAGATCTGCAGGCGTGGTGTCACGGAATCTGGAAAAATGACTTCAAAGGAGAGCAGTGCCGGCTTTTTAGGGAGCCGGCAGAGACCATTTGGGAATTGAGAGAGGGAGGGCAGGCTAGCAGAGACCATTTGGGAATTGAGAGAGGGAGGGCAGGCTAGCAGAGACCATTTGGGAATTGAGGGAGGGAGGGCAGGCTAGCAGAGACCATTTGGGAATTGAGAGAGGGAGGGCAGGCTAGCAGAGACCATTTGGGAATTGAGAGAGGGAGGGCAGGCTAGCAGAGACCATTTGGGAATTGAGAGAGGGAGGGCAGGCTAGCAGAGACCATTTGGGAATTGAGAGAGGGAGGGCAGGCTAGCAGAGACCATTTGGGAATTGAGAGAGGGAGGGCAGGCTAGCAGAGACCATTTGGGAATTGAGAGAGGGAGGGCAGGCTAGCAGAGACCATTTGGGAATTGAGAGAGGGAGGGCAGGCTAGCAGAGACCATTTGGGAATTGAGAGAGGGGAGGGCAGGCTAGCAGAGACCATTTGGGAATTGAGAGAGGGAGGGCAGGCTAGCAGAGACCATTTGGGAATTGAGAGAGGGAGGGCAGGCTAGCAGAGACCATTTGGGAATTGAGAGAGGGAGGGCAGGCTAGCAGAGACCATTTGGGAATTTCATCCTTATTTCCGGTCGCTCCCTTTTCCAACCTGTGAATGGTGCAAATCTTTCTTTCCCGTCCCCCGATTCGTGTGACCTTTTTGGCGATCGAGGTGGGGGGAGGGAATTGTATGTGAATGTGAATGGTATTGGGGCTAGGGTAGGGTAGGGGGGAAGTGTCTGTCTCTCTGTCTCTCTCTCTCTCGCTCTCTCTCTCGCTCTATTGGTGTCCTTGTCCCAGATCCCTACCCTTCCATCTATTCATTCGCCACCATCACTTTTATGGGAGGGTTGAGGCGAGGGGCTCGTCAAGGGAGGGAAGGGTGTGATTGGTGTGAAAGGCGGCTACGCGCCTTTGCAAGTTACGGACAGAGGAGCGAGACGGAATCTGAAAAACCAGTTAATTTGTTTAAGGGGAGCGTGTAAGCTAATAGTAGCTCGTAGTGAGAGGAGATTTCTCAATGGTCTCTGCTAGTTAGCCGCGAGACCTATTAGCAGTAAAATTCCTGGGCTACTTTTCCAAAACACTTCGATTTCCGCAAAAATTCCGGCTAGCCTGAACTCCCTATCTCAATTCCCAAATGGTCTTTGCTAGCCTGCCCTCTTTAAATTAGTTCTCGGCCCCTTTAAAACCCTCCTCCGCCTAGTATCGGCCCGCCGAATCTTGTGGCTCCCGAATTGGAGGCCATTCTCCCAGGGGCCGACCGTCGCGATGATTCGCCTGTAGAGAGAGAGCGAGAGAGAGAGAGAGAGGGAGAGAGAGACTCCTCCCCTCGATCTCCTGCTCCCCTTCACTCTCTCCTCTCTCCTCTCTCCTCATGCTCTCTCATCTACTGTACGCGATGCATCGTATCGACCGTTTCCGCGGCCATCCACCGGCTAGCCTCCGTTTTTTCGGAGTTTAAATGGGGTTTAATTTTAAAGGGATGGTGTCAGGGGTCAGTATCTCTCTCTCTCTCTCTCTCTCTCGCTCGCTCGCTCTCCCATTCTATAAAACTTTTTCAGAGATGAATATCATCCAGGGCATCCTCTCTTCCGTAAAGCCCCTGCCGGACAGGTAATAATTTTTAAAGGAACCGGCAAGGATGGCTATAGATTTTTGGCCATGGATCCCTAGGGATTTTGTCTTGCCAATCCCTTTAAAATTCAAATTCAAATTCAAATTTTTAGCGATTTCTCCGATCGTCTCTCCTATGTCTATTCGACTTTGGGCCTAATTGTCGGCTCGGCATTTGTATCGGGCTGGAGGTAAATTAACATAATTTAGCGTATACCTCGAGGTTTTAAAGTGTCATTTTTCATACTTTAAAGTTAAAAAGAATTATGGAAATTTTTTAAATGCAAATTTTACGTCAATAATTGTTTTTTCAGCTTTGTCGGCAGCCCAATCCAGTGCTGGTTCCCGGCCTATTATAAAGGTATGGTAATTCAGAGTTATGGTTAATTTAAGTTTTAGATAGATTTTTACAGTTAAAAAACTTATTAATAAAATTAATAACACAATTTTCCAGGATGGTGGATGGAATACGTGCTAGACTATTGTTATGTACAAAATACGTATTTTCTACCGTTTACAGAAATAAAGGTGGGTGAGAGAGAGCGCGAGAGAGTGAGAGAGTGAGAGACAGAAAAGCTCAATTTTTTTAGCCCCAAAACGAGTGGGATTTCGCGAACCACATCGTGCCATACCCGAAAAATATCACCGAGCGAGAGGACAAGCAGCTCGGTGGGTTTTAAAGGAGCCGGCAAGGCTTGGTTAGGGAATTTCTGAGCCTTGCCGGACCCTTTAAAGGGAATTTCAAGCTAAACTATATTTTTAGGGTACTACCAGTGGGTGCCATTCATCCTGGCTCTCCAAGCCTTCCTCTTCTACCTGCCGATTCTAATCTGGAGAACGGTTTATGAGGGCACGGGTAGGTTTTGATTTTTAATTATTATTTATTTTTCACCTGTTTTTGCATGTTTGGTCGTTTTAAAGGGTCTGTAAAAGGATGGGTCTAGCTATAGATTTGGAGCAGCCGCGAGACGCGACACACGCGCCATTTTTTGGGTTTTATAGGTCGTGCTCGATTACGTAGCGGAAATAGTTCGCGGGCGTTGCATGTCGCGGGCCCGACAAAATCAGCGAAAATCAATAGCTCTGGATTTTGCCGCTCCCGCGATGCGAAACGCATGCGTCACTTGCGTCACTTGCGCCACGTTTCGAGCTCGTGCTCCATTACCCAGCGAAAAACGTAGCGTACGTTGCGTGTCGCGGGTTGAGCGCGACTCCTCGGGCCCACGAACCGCAACGTGCGCTTCTTCTCGGATTTTGAGAGATCTTAATCCATTACGCAGCGAAAATCGGCGGCGTTGCGGATCGCGGGCGGAATAAATTATAAGAAATCCATCGCTTAATCCTGGCTTCCCAGTCTCTTTAAAATTACCTAAAAAATAAGTAATATATTTTTATAGGCTTCAAGATCGCTACGATCTGCCAGACATGTGCCATCGCTCAGAATATGGAGGAGAAGGACCGGGAGAAGAATATGCGAATTGTGTCCGGATTCCTCGTTTATGAGCATTCTGTGGCAAAGTAAGAAACGTTAAAGGTTAAAATTAATAAGAATTAAATTCATATATACAAAAATTAGTTACAATAAAATTCATATATACAAAAATAGAGAAAATAAAATAGAATAAAATTAAAAAATTAAAAAGTAACGTTAAAATACTAATTTTTAGCGCTATCGGTGGAAAAGTGCGGCGTACGGCTTCTGGAACTTTTGTCATCGGCACTTATATGGTAAGCTAATGAAAAAACTTAACTTAAACTTAAAATATATCCCAAAAAATCAGATTTTTGAGCCAGAAACGAAGCCAAATTTGGGGCCAACGAGCAGAGATTTTTGAAGAATTTTCAAATTTTCCATTTACCCAATCTTTCAGCTGACAAAAGTGCTTTTCGTGGCCAACGCCCTGCTCCAATTCGTGCTCCTGAAGGGCTTCCTCGGCGTCGACACATTTTTCTGGGGCCTACAGGTTTTATTTTTTACCTAAATGTACCTAAATTTTTTAGGTGTTCAACGACATTTGCTCGGGGCGGGAATGGCCGCAGAGTGGCAATTTTCCTAGGTAAAACTTTTTTCAAAACGGAAAAATTCGAAAATTCGGCGATTTCTGGTCTGGGTCGATTGTTAGTGGGTTATGCCATCAAGTGAAGGGCCGGGGTTCAATCCCCGCGGGTGTCAAACTTTTTTGATTTTCGGTTTTTGCGGATTTGTCTTGATTTCAATGAATTGCAGGGTAACTTTCTGCGACTTTGAAGTGCGTGTGCTCGGAAATCTTCATCGCCACTCCGTGCAATGCGTGTTGATGATCAACATGTTCAACGAGAAAATTTTCATTTTCCTGTGGTTCTGGCTGTTCCTCGTGCTCTGCTACAGGTCGGTCTCTCTTTCTCTCTTTCGCTCTCTCTCTCTCTCTCTCTCTCTCTCTCTCTCTCTCCTAAAAAATGCTGATTTTAGCGTTTATTCCCTGTTCTACTGGCTGTCCACCGCCTTCACCACGTCCTATGGGAAGAAGGTGGTCCGACATTATATTGAGAAGGTAGGAATTTGTGCCTTAGCGGTGGGGGCTCTCAAATGGTCTCTGCTAGCCTGTCGATTTCAGATCGACCCTCCGACCGGTGATGCCGAGTACGACCACCACAAAAAGCAACTTCTCGAGGAGTTTGTCGTGGATAAGCTGCGTACGGACGGAGTTTTTGTACTCAGGTATGGCTTAAAATAAGAATAAACACTGATAAATAGTAAATAAAATTATTTAAACCCTAAATACATTATTCCAGGTTGATCATGTCGAATTCTGGGGATATGATTGCGTGCTCGTTGATAAGGACGTTGTGGCAAGATTTTGTGAAGGTACGCTAGCTCTTTGTATCTCTCTCTCTCTCGCTCTCTCTCTCTCTATCTCTCTCTCTCTTTCTCGCTCTCTCTCTCTCTGTTTCTGCCTCGCTCGCTCGCTGTTTATCTCCTTCTTCCCACCCTTCCTGGGGCGCGTTCCCCTCGCTATCCCCTTGTGCCCTTTGGTGTAATGGCAAGCACTCGCGACTAGAGTGGAGCTTATTCAAATCAAATCCAACTCAAATCTGATTTGATTTGAACAAGACCTATTTGAATAAAATTTTCTTATTCAAATCAAATCGATTTGATTTGAATAAGAAACGACAGTTCAAATCAAATCTGCTGCGATTTGAGTTGATTTGAACAATTTGAACAACAGGCAAATCGAGTATGGAAATTTGGAACGGATGGTAATCACATCGGTTTTGGCTTTTAGCATGGCTGATTCGCGTAATAATGGTAAAATGGCAGTCAGAAACGTTTGTGATGTGGCTTTTAGCGTTTGGAATTGATCAAAAATGATTCAACGATGCGGTCGGCGCCGTTTCTGAAGTTGCGAAAGGCAAAATGTCACTTTGAATCCGAGATTTAAATCATATTATTTGACGTTTTGCATAAATCCAGAAAAAATACCTGCTCGTTCTTGTTCAAATCTTGTTCAAATAACTCAAATCAAATCAAACCGATTTGATTTGATTTGAGTTGACTTTCGCCAATTCAAATCGATTTGATTTGAACAAGCTGCCCGGATTCAAATCAAATCGGTTTGATTTGAATAACTCAAATCTTATTCAAATCCGATTTGAATAAGCTCCACTCTACTCGCGACTACCAGTCTTGTGGTCAGGGTTCCAATCCTTCCTGAAGCAAAACTTTTTGCTTTTTTGGCCAAACCCACAGTAACCATCTCGTTTCAATATGATCATTTTTCAGGAACGCGGCAGCCGTCCCCCACCTTACGAGAAGCCCAAACTCCTCCAGGGTGGTCTCCTTACTGATAAGGACCAAGAGAGTGCCTTTTAGCCTTTCACGCCTTTACATAGCGTAATGTAGCCCAGATGAAGAGATTTATCACTTATCGAATTTACACTTTATTAGCCGATTAAGCGCCGGTTTGTAATTGTTTATGGACCGGCGATTCCTGCCGAGTTCCGCTGCGATACAAAATACACATTCCGCCTCTTTCTCTCTCGTATCCCTCGAATATTTTGCTGTGCTTTGTGAGCTGTGATATATGATCGTCAATGATTGGATAACAAGGATTTAAGATAAAAAATTATAATTTCAATTTTGTGGAACTACAGTGGTCAAAAATACACGGAATATTGGATTAAAGACCATCAATTTTTCATTCAATTTCCTTAAATAAGTCATATCTAAATATTACAAGTATTTTTGCTATTCAGGTATTTAAATTGACATATTAAATGTGTTTACACCGATGATTTTTTAAAATAACGTTTATTCAGTTTGATTAATTTTTTAAAAATTTTTTGCAATTAAATTTTTGAATTTTTGAATTTTTAGTTTCACTCAATTTATATACCTAAAAACTACCGTATAAATCGAATAGAACCCTCTACAGTACCCCGTTAAACATTTCAGCCCGCCGACTCGACCCGACAAGGTCGAGCCCTAATTTGAGGTCGGGGCGCCTCGCGGTGGGCTAACTTTTTGGCTGGCTGCCAGGAGACTGGAATTTCGAAAAATGCTGCGGAAAAGTGACGCAATTTGGAGGGTGTCCGAATGGAAAAACCACGGAATCAAAGGAGGATTCTGTTTGCACGATGAGCAATACCCGGGGAGTAGTCCTTGAATTTTGACGTTAGCATCTGGTTATTTCTCTCTCGCTCTCTCACTTTCTCTCTCTCTCTCGCTCTTTCTCTCTTTCTCCTCTCTCTATTCCGCTCTCTCTCCATCTCTCCCTCTCTCGCTCTCTGTCTCTCTCCTCTCCTTCCATCCGATTTGCATGTATGGACTTTTTCGGAGCGTCTGGACAACGCCAGCCTTTTCACACAAACAGGCCTACAGTTCAGGACCAAGAGTCAAACATCCCAAAGATGAGAGAGAGAGAGAGAGAGAGAGAGAGAGAGAGAGAGAGAGAGAGAGAGAGAGAACTTGGGCAGGGCAGGCGTAGAGCAGTAAAATGTGCGAATTGGACACGGCAAAGGGGGGCTGGTAGGGGACGACTATTGTCACATTGACGACTTGCAGAAATTGGGGACAGGTTTATTTAAAGGGAAAGGCAAGGGATGGATATGGGTTTTTGGGCTAAGGATTCCTACGTATTTTGGAGAACCAGCGACGCGCAACGTACACGCGGGTGGCTGATATCCATAGAAAAAGCCGTTCCAGGGATTTTGAAGGAATCAGCATGAGAGAGAGAGAGAGAAAGAGAATGAGAGAAACAGAGAGAGCTAGGGAAAGAGAGAGCGTGCGAGTGAGAGCGAGAGAGAGAGCGAGGGAGAATGAGAGAGAGCGAGAGAGAGCGAGAGAGAGCGAGAGGGTGAGAGATAGATGGATAGAGAGAGAGAGAGAGAGAGAGAGATGAGAGAGAGCGCGAGAGTTGGAGACGAAAAGAGAGAGCTAAGGAAAGAAGAGCGGGAGAGTGAGAGCGAAAAAGAATGCGAGAGACTGAGCAAGGAGAGCGAGGTCGAGCAATAGAGACAGAGGAACAGAATGACAAACAAACATGCAAACAGCCAACCCTTAAATTTGTATAGTTTTCGGTACACCACCATTTTATCGCTCTCTCTCTCTCCCTCTCTCTCTCTGTCTGTCTCTCTCTCACTCTCCCCCTACCATCTGACTAATGATTCGGGAATCGTGCTCATTGTCTGTCTGTCTGTCTCGAGCAAGAGGGTCGAGGTATCCTCCCTCCTCCCCCTCCATTTTGGGGGTCGTCCATTCGGAGATGCGAGAGAGTGGAGGGGCAGAGATTGAGAGCGAGCCCGAGAGGCGTGTCTCTGTCTCTCTCTGTCTCTCTAAAGAGAGAGAGAGAGAGAAAGAGGGGCGGTAGTAGCACTGTATCCCATCGATCCCCACCATGCCCCGGCCTTCTCGCCCCTCTTCTACCCCAACAGTTCTGTACTCTTTTTACGTTTTTAAAGGATTTTCATGGCTAATTGGCTATGGATTCCGTTACTTTACTCTTTACGCTTCCAATCAATTCATCAAATTTGTTTATGGAGATATTAGAATGATCTTTTGCTTATTTAGCTGAATTCTATGGTCCTTTAAAATTCTGAAAAATGCCCTTAAAAGCATTTAGACGGAGAAAATTGGGAGTTCATTTTAATCCTCTTTACGACAATCGATTTCTGGCACTTCTCGGTCCCTTTAAAAGCCTGTAAAAAATCATTTAAAGGTCCAGGTAAGGTTCAAAAGCTGTGGATTCGGTACAAATTCTGTTTACGCCGAAATTTACGGCTTTTTTGCGTGATTTTATTCCATTCTGTGGTCCTTAAAAACGCCGAAAAACGTTTAAAGGGGCTTGGAAGGATCGGGTTCTATGGATTTCGTTCCATTCCTTATTACAACAGCCATTTAAGGCGAATTTTATGTTTTATCGTCATTTCTCGAATATTTAGGAATTTGACTTTTTATGACTTCAACGTTCCTTTAAAACGCCGCGATTTTGATAAAAAGTCTTTAAAGGGACATGGAAGCCTGCAAAGCTAGCTTCCCTTTGCACCATATGCGCCGTTCTAACTTCTGTGGTCCTTTAAAATGCCGAGAAAAACCAGACAATTAAAATCCCACCTCCTTTCGACAAATACCTGTTAATGCGCCTTTCCCCCGTTTTCGACCCTTTAAAACCGCAAAAACGAGCCAAAAAAATTAAAATTACTTTTCAGGCGATTTACCTATTCCCGGGGGCAGTGTACGGAGGTGTGGCGCGTAGCCCTAGAAGAAGAGGAACAAGCAGAAGAAGATGTTCTTCATCGACGTATTTCTGAAGGGGCTGAAGCCGAATTATGATGATGATGCGGTGGATCGGTTGAATTACTACTACACCCCCATGTTGATCGTCATTTTCGCGTTGACGCTGTCGGCTAAACAGTCGGTTTTTATGGGTTTTTCGTGCATTCATAGGCACCTATGAATTCCCAAATGGTCTCTGCTAGCTTGCCGTTTCTTATCTGATTTTGTAACGCTCGCTTTAACGCTCTCGGACGTATATATTCGATCCTAATGAATCTCTGCTAGCTGTCCCCAAATTCTGCATAGCTCAAACTGACATATAATCTTGATTTGATGTTTTCTCAAACGGTCTCTGCTAGCTGACCCTTTCGTCTAATTTTGAGAAGCTCTCCTTAATGCTCCTAGAGCGCATTTTTAATTCCTAAATGATCTCTGCTAGCTTACCCTTCCTCCCAGCGTGTTTGAAAAGCTTTCATTAGTGCTCCGAAGCTGTAAATTACCATTTTTTCCCAAAGAATCTCTGCTAGCCGACCTTGCGCTTGTAGAATAAATCAAAAATCCTAATTTTTTCCGAAATGATTTCTGCTAGCCTGCCCCTAAAGCAATTTTTTTAGAGGAATTTAGCAGGTAAGGTAGACAGATCGGGGTCTAGGCAGGTCTACAATTTTCTACCGTAAGACCAGACATGGCAATCCCGGCCGCTTTTCAAAAGCCGGCGGCTTGGCCGGGGCTCCGGCTTTTAAACATAAAAAAGCCGGGCCGGACCGGAAGCTCCGGCCAAGCCGTGCGGCTCGGCCGCATGCTAATTTTTTCCGGCCGAAAAAAGCCGGCGGCCCGGCCGTTTGCCATGTCTGCGTAAGACCGTAGCTTAGCGGATTTCGCTCTCCGGATCCGTCAAGCCCCAATAATAATCCCAATAATACCATTCCCCAATAATCTCTGCTAGCCTGCCCGCAGATTGCGAGGTCATTTATCGATTTTCTTCCGACGTCCATAGTCGCATAGTGGAATGACCTCGCGATTTTGATTCGATCTGCATCCCGAATTTTTATCTCTGCGCCTCATCGCCGACAGAGAGTCAGTCGCGCAAGGGGAAGGACTTAGGGGGTCAGCTAAAATATAGAAAATTCGCGTTTTAAAGGGAAGATGACAGGGTTTTAAATCGATTTTTATGCCGTAATTGTCTGGACCAAAGTATATTCCCTTTCAGATCAAAAAATTATAAAAATTTGTAAAAAACGCTTGAAATTTTTCGGAAAATGGCTAGTCTGCAGAGGGTACTTTAAAGGCGACAAGAAAGCACTTTGAATTGGCTGTATTTTCATGTCGTAATCCTTTAAGCGAATCTAGACCATGATTTCCCCCATATTTCGTCAGGCCATTGACCTGTCATTGTAAAGGCTAGGGCGGAATGGCCTTTATGCAAATTAGCCGTCTCGCCTCGCCCCTCGTCCCCTGTTTCACAACCAATACCATTTCTCAACTGACACCTAAGGCATTGATTCAATGGAAAGGGGTGAGACAATGGGTGAAAAATATAGGATTCCCCAAAAAACCTGCTAGCCTCCCCCTAAAATTCCTTAAGACATCTTTGCTAGCTTGCCTTGCGAAAAAGGCGTTTTTGAGTCTGCGCCAAAAACTTTCTCAAAAAATTCCTCAAAGGATCCATGCCAGCTTGCCCCAGGATTTTCGGTAATCTTTAAAAACTTAAATACTTCCTAAAGAATCTCTGCTAGCATGCCCTCCCTGCCAAAAATTCCTGGAGAATTTTTGCTAGGCACCCGCAAGCACCAAAGGCATCCTAAAGAATATCTGCTAGCCTGCCCCCTAACGAGAAATTCCTAGTCAAAAGACAGACTTGCAAACACCATTGCGGACCTTCGATAACTTTAAAAAATGGCACGTTCTTTCAGATACGTCGGCCAGCCAATCCAATGCTGGATTCCGGCCCAATTCACTGGAGCATGGGAACAATATTCGGAGAATTACTGCTTCGTTCAGAATACATACTTCTTACCACTCAATCACTATATTCCACATGATGTCGAGGAGAGGGAGAATAGAGAGTTGGTGGGTGGAGAGAGGGGAGAAAGAGC